CCTTGCATTGTGGCCAGCACCGCGCTGTCATCACTGCACTCTGCTGCGTTTCCATCACAATGACAGTTTATGACTGTTCAGTAAACCATTCGGCCCGCGATTTAGGCTGGATTTTAGATTTTGGCCCCTTCTCTGATTGAGTTCGACACCCCTAATCTACATCATACAAATTTAATTCAGAGTAAACCTGCTCAAAACAGTATATGTTTGTTTTTCACACACAATCTGTATTCTAACTCTTCTGCCATTGTGCCTGATAGCTTTTAGGTTAATAGAGTCAAAAGGAAAGTTATAGTCAGTGGAGTGTTCAATTATTTTATAATGAAGCTAATATTTAATAGCCTTCTGAGCAAGAAGGTGCCTACCTGAATGTGACATTTATTTTAAGTCTTATTATTTTTTTTCTTCAGCTCAAGTATTATTTTTTAATAAATACATATTTATTATGGAAATGCCTCAGATTTAATTATTTCCTCAATTAATTCCTCAATAATCTTACCAAACTAAGACAAAATTTTGAAAGCTGGAAAAAATCACTTACCATAAGAAAACTAGAGAGAAGTTCATGTGAACACAAAACCTTAAAAAGAAATCTTTTGAGCTCTAACACCACTTAAAATAGACGAATAACAGTATCATTTTTACCCAACATAAACTGTCAGGTATAACATAAGTGTCCCATTTTTGGTCTTTTATTCAATTCCAAGAAGGAAAAAAGAGAAGTGAAAACACAGTAAATGAAAAAAAGGAGTTCTTAGATAATAGCTGACTCCATGTCTTATATCAGAAAAAAAAATTTTGTTAGATCTGGAACCTTTTGCTGTTGCCAACAGGTTGTTTCCAAAAATATCACAGGTGCTGTGCTGAAAAGATTCCTTTTAAGATTCTCCTTACCCTGGCCAATTTGGCTCCTGGATAGAACGTTGGCCTGTGGATTGAAGAGTCCTGGATTTGATTCTGGTCAAGGGTTGTGGGCTCCATCCCCTGTAGGGAGCATGCAGGAGGTAGCTGATCAATGATTCTATTTCATCACTGAGGTTTCTAGCTCTCTCCCCCTCCCTTTCTCTCAGAAATCAAGAGAAATATGTTTGTTTGTTGTTGTTTTTTTTAAAGACTCTCCTTAACAGGGCTGTCTTTGGCTATGTAATAAAAATTTATGCAATGACATACTATACTTCTCCTGCCACTACTCCTTTTACTATAATAAAATCTGACAACCATCAGTAAGTTAAAACATTAGAAAATGATTTAAGCCCATAATAAATGAAGCATGAAAAATAGTATGAAGCATATAAAAGAGAGGGTGAATAAAAATAGTTTTTTCTTGCCATAATTAGTCACTGAGTACATATTTATTTTTTCTTGTCCTATTATTTATATTTTCTCATTCTATTATTTGTATATGACCTAATTAATGTGCTTGTTTTCAACTCTACAGTCTAAATAGTATAAACTCAGGGAACTTTGAAAAAGCCAGTCTCAGGAAAAAGGGACCACTATATCAAATCAGGGAAGGACTATCACAGCTCAAACTCACATAATAACCCAAGATAGAAAAGGTATTCCACATTAGTCAATACCAGCAGACACAAATCCAATAGAGATGGGGCAGGATAAAATAATAAATAAGTTGAATGTCCCAAAGAACTCATTTCATGCTTAACCCATTACCACCTAGGAAATAAACATTTTATTAACATATTAAATCCATCATGATAGCATGGTAAATTGTAATGACACTACAGGCCATGTAAAACTTAAAGCACAAATAATGCCCAATAAAGAAAATTAATTACAAAACTTAAAATCTGTAGTAAAAAATAAATTTACATGTCCAATGAAGTAGAAAAAGGGACTGAGTGTAATGGTCACTGGTTCAAGTTTTAATGATCTTTTACTGTGCAACCAAATCTCAGGTGCCATGCAAGAATTAAGAACTCAACCTTAAAATTAGTCTTCCCCGCCCCTCCCCCCCCCAAATCAGATTTGCTATTTGTGTCCTACCTCCTTTTTTTTCCTTTTGTAAATTTTGCTAGAATTTTATCAATGTATTAATCCCCAAAATAAACCTTTGGCTTTGTTGATGTTCTCTATTGTAGATTCATTATTTCTTTATTTACTTATTTTTTCTATCTATTTATCTATCTATCTATCTATTATTTATTTATTCATTCATTCATTTATTTATTGGGAGAGAGAAACCTTGATTGGTTATTTGTTTATTTACTTATTTATGGAGAGAGAGAAACCTTGATTGGTTGCCAGGGACAGAACCTGCAACCTGGTATGTGCCCAGATCAGGAATCAAACCCAAACCATTAAGTGTATAAGACAATGTTCTAACCAACTGAGCCACATCAGTCAAAGCAATTGTACATTCACTTTATGTTCTATTAATAATATATATAAATTTATATTTGAGCTCTTATTCTTATTATTTTCTATTTTATGCTTTCTTTCAGTTTCAGTATACTTTTTTCTTAACTTCTTGAGATGAATACATAGATCATTGGTTTATTTTGCATTCTTCTTTACTAGCATATACATTTATGGCTATATATTTTCTTCAGCTTCAGCAACACAACACATTTTTATATTTTCATTATCATATACTTAAAAATACTTTTAATTTCTATTGCAACTTCTTCTCTGATTCATCAGTTATGTATAAAACATTTCTTAAATCCCAAATATTGGAATTTTTTGTTATTAATTTCTATTTGTGTTTTTGTTATTAACTTCTACCTAACTCCACTATGGTCAGAAAACATATAATATTATTTCACTCTTCTGAAATATACTGAAATTCCCTTTATGGTTCATAATATAATAAATTTAGATAGCTGCTTCATATGCATCTGAAAGTAATATATACTGTAGCTATAAAGAACACTGTCCTATGTATATCAATTAGGTTGTTTGTCAATCACATTGTTCAAATATTATATACTTAACTGGGTTTTTATTGATTGCTTTATCAACTATTGAGCAAAGTGCTAAAAATCCCACACTACTATTGTGACTTGTCTGCTACTTCTTTTAGTTAGTTCTGTCAAATATATTTGAAGTAATTTTATGAAGGCATACACATTTAGAACTGTAATATCTTGCTAGTGGACTAACCTTTACATTATTAACTATCATTCTTTACCTCTAATAAAGCTTCCTGTTATAAAGATTATTCACATACAATGAGGTGAGTAGTATAAATTGATAGAACTATTTAGGGAAACTGTTAGTATTATATTAAAGCTGCTATATGCCTGAACTATGACATAGAATTTTACTCCTAGGGTCATACCCAATAAAAATGCATTCATATGTGCACCAAAAAACATGTACAAGTATGTTCACAGCAGCCTTTATCATAATAGCCCCAATATGAAAACAACTCAAATGCCAATCAATAATGGAATGAATAAAAAAATGTGGTATGTTCACTAAAGGGAATTTTAAACAATAATAATAAATGACTTACAACTAGGTGAAAGAACATAGATGAATTTCACATATTCATACTACATAATATCACATAGTACATTCATGCTACAAGTGAAATTTAATGTTGAACAAAAGAAGTCAAGCATAAAATAAGAGATATTGCGTGATTCTATTTACATAAAATTCAAGGATAGGTAAAAAATAATCTATGGCTATAGAAGACAAAATAATGATTATCTTTGGGAGAGATGGGAAGTGAGTAGATGGGACAAGAATCAGTATTCTGGAATGCTAGCAATATTCTATCTCCTGATCTGATTTGAGCTCTAGTTAAATGAATATACTCCTTTTATAATATTCATCAGACATATATTTTAATTTCTATACTTTGAGGAAAATGTATGTTATCCTTTTAAAACCACAAGCTGTATATATGTATATGGTTTTAAAAGAATAACATACATATATATCATTATATCTGCAGACTCATCAAAATTAAAATACCAAGTAACCAAGTATTAGAGAGAATACAGGATGACTATGTTTACAAACTGCTGTAGGAATTTAACTCAAACAAGCATTTTGAAAAATAATTTGGCAATATCTAGGAAATTTAAAGATACACACCTATTGTAAAGCCCAGCAATTCCATTGATACGTTTATACCCTAGGAAAGCATCATGTATGCCCCAAGATACTTATAAATATATGTTCAGAGCAGTCCTTTCAAAGGAGCCAAAAACTTGTCTCATCTACTCCTTAATCAAGCTGTATGTAATTTTATTAAACAATTCACAAGAGTGATCCTAAAGAAATATAGTATTGTGTAGGAAAATCAAGACTCAAAACATTACACAGCACAATTTAATTTCTAAGTTCAATGTCAAAACTAAATTATATATTTTAGGAATGTATAAATGTAAGGTAAATAAAACAACAAAAAATTACCACCTTAAAGTCAGGATAAGGATTAGTGTTTTTCTCTGTGGTAGGACTAACTGGGGTTTCTGAAGTGCTAATGCAAGTTTTTGTTAAACAGTGTCCCTTTATAGTTACTTCTTCAACTATATGCTTATATTTTAAGCACTTTTGTGTATGTGTGTAGTATTCAGAAATTTTTTTTAATGAATGAAAAAGAAACTAAATAATAGCTACAGATCATTTTAGTGAAAACATAAACTATAAAATGGTAAGTGCTGTAAGATTCCAAACTTGAAATAATGTATACTGTACATGCATAGAAAATATATTAGAAGGAAATAAATCAAAACATTAATTGTAACTTCCCATTTTCCAAATTCTTTAAAATAACTTCGGCATGTTTTGTGTTTAAAAAGGGAAAACTTAGCACACAGGAGTAACTGAGCTATTTCCTACATTAATATATGAACATCATGTAGAAGGAAATGAGGCTGTATGTATATTGGGATCTCTGTGCTCAACCCCAGGGCTTCCCATTATTTTCTTGACTGGAAAGTTGTAGCAAGAGGATACTTAACGAGTCTATGTTAAACAGTACAATCCAGGAGAAAGAGAGCATATAGGAAGCCCAATAGCACCTTGCATTTAGCTTGGTCCTCAGCTATTTCTCCTTCTGAGGACCTCTTGAGAAGAAGAGCTGAGGAAAGAGAAAGAAATCAGAGATACCAGGTTTTCCTTGTGATCCAGACTCATCAGATCAGAGGTAGCTTTGTACCCACACCAACCACTCATGGAAGAGACCAGAGGAGTCTGGGAGTGTGAGGAGGGGAAACATCTGTTGTCCAACACCAAAATTTGTCCTAACCTCACACATGAACACACTGTCCACCCTGGCACAATTACAGGCACCCTTCAACTGCACAAAGAATGCAAGTTACATGATCACACTCACATCCTCACAGTCACAGGCATCCAGTACACTTACTGCTGCTCACATTTATACAATCTCAATCATAAACACTCAGTCCTCAAATAACAGTCAGAGCCACATAATCACAGATTCTCTACACTCCGCGGGCGCGCGCGCGCGCGCGCGCGCGCACACACACACACACACACACACACAGTCACCCAACGTTGTAGAAATAGCCCAGCCAGTCGGCCTGGCTCAGTGTTTGAGCATCGACTTATGAAAGTCACAGTTGGATTCCCGGTCAGGGCTCATGCCTGGATTGGGGACTCAATCTCAGTGTCGGGTGTGCAGAAGGCAGCGATCAATGATTTTCTCTCATCACTGATGTTTCTATCTCTCTCTCCCTCTCCCTTCCTCCCTGAAATCAATAAAAATATATCTAAAGCAAAACAAAAAGTTATACGAACGCACACACAATAACAGTCAACCAAGGGTAAACAGTCACGCACAGTGCCGCATACTGTCACAATCACACACCTACAACGAGTTTAGTAAGAGAGTGATGGTGTAAAGGTCAAGTTGAGACACCTGCACACAGAATTCCGCGCATAATCAATCACATCCACCACGAGGCATACAATCTCACCCACACGCACAACGCCGCAGTCACGTAAGGTCACAATCGTACAGATGGAATCCCACACTTCTCCCCAGCCCGACCAATTCATACAGGCCCGAGACTCTTTCAGCAAGGCACCTGAGAAACCTGGTCAAGCTCCCAAGGCCAAGGCCACTCACCTTGCATTCCACCTTCCTGGGAGGCCCAGCACGGCAAGTGTAGAAGTGGACCGGTTCCCGCGGGGGCCTCTGGGAAACGTAGTCCCGGTTCCGTTTGGTCAAGATGGCGCCTGGTCTCTGGGTTTCCCGCTATCGCATAGGGGCTAAACCGACAGCCCCGCTATGAGTCTTTGAGAGCCAGATGCAGGCTTGGAATGCGCTCCCACACCAGATAGATCCCACACCTTGGAGACAAGTTTTCTCCATAGACCCGCCAATCCCAGGAGTCATAAGTTCCTTGAGAAATAGAAAAAGGTAGCCCAATTATCACTTGAAGTTGATTAGAGCCGCAAGTACTTCTGGGAAACGTAGTCTTGACCCAGAAAGGGTGAATCGCCCGCCCAAATAGAAGATTGTCATAGATGACTTTGGCATTGAGCTTTCCCACGGGGACCAGTGGAGCTGCCCCTCTTTTAGGACTTGTAAACCCACTCTGTGAATACTAAATAGCTATTTTGGCCTTCATCAGGTGGGAAACCGTCACTGCTCAGGAAGTGGAAACAAAGTCTCAAATCCAAATCACAGGAGGGAATGTAATCCCGAAGCCCAGAATGGGATTGACAAACTGTATTATAAAATTTAGTATTATTGAGCAATTAGAAGAGTAAGAATTATAACAAATGGCCTGGTGGAAGGGAAAGAAAACATTCAGCTCTAATAACTCCTATTGAAATAGATGTTTTCTCCTTAAATCACCCTTGTGTTTATTATAATAATTTAAGAGCCAAATTAAGACCAATTTATCTATTGTATTCAATTTGGCCTGATTGTTTGCATAAACACCACAAGAATGGTAACTGACCATTGAAAGATGAGACAGAGGGCCAAAAACCAGGACTACAGGCTTTATTAGAGGAGAAGGACCCCTGTGGGCTGCCTTGCAAAGGAAGAGAGCACACATGCAGAGGTGGAGATCCCTTTTGAGGGGAGGAATGGGAAGGGATGGGGTTTAGGGTACTGGCATGCACTGATTGGTGGTTAATATAAGGCACATGCTTAGGCACTTAGGTATTTAGGAATCTTGGGCTTAGGGTATTTAGCAGGTGCTGATTGGTGGTTCAATGTACAGTCCATATAAGGTGCCTGATTAGGTGCTCAGGAATGTCCATGCTGCAGGTGCAGGTTACATCATACTCTGTCCATCAGTTGGGGAAAGGGAGGATCTATCAAATACCTTTGTCGGAATTTCATGATTGATTTTACCTTTTCAATTATTACATTTTTCAATCTCTATCATCAATATTACTACTGCTATTTTGCAATTTTTGTTTTTGTTTTGTTTTTTTTCCTCTCCAGTACCATTTTATTTTTTCTTTATTTTACATTGGGAGTAACCTTCATTCTATTTTAATCTCTACTATAGCATCATTCAACCCTATCTCAACTTGACCTTTACACCATCACTCTCTTACTAAACTCTACCCTTTTAGTCTCCTGCTTATCCTATCCCTTTCTGGCTTTAGTTTTTCCACTATTCTTTCCGTATACCCCCTGCTAAAGTTCTCACTATACTTATAGACCTAAGTTCCAACCCCTGATCCAAATGTATAAATACCACTCTCTACACTATATTAACTAGTTAAAACACACACACACACACACACACACACACACAAAAAAAAAAACCTGTTCTCCCCTCTATCCTTTTCTCATTGTTTTTGTGAAGGTTGATTATTGTGAATTGTTATGCTTTTTAGTGAAATTGTTATGTTTATTCCTGTGTTGTTATTGTTTCTTTGTATTTTTTTTAAATCCTCTGTTTTTGTTTGTTTTTTTTTTACTTCTGTATATCATAGCCTTACTTAATAATAGTGGATATTATAGTTTGTATTAATCTCCAAGTATTGTTACTGGCATTGGCTGGATTTAGTGGTTGTTCTATGGGAATTTTCTCCAAATATATATAGTTTGTTTTCCATTTCTCTTTTAGTCGTCATCGTCGTCTTCTTCTTCTTCTTCTTCTTCTTCTTCTTCTTCTTCTTCTTCTCTCTCTCTCTCTCTCTCTCTCTCTCTCTCTCTCTCTCTCTTCTTTTTTCCCCTGTTTTCCAACTTCATTTTGCCATTACTTTTTTCCTTCTTTTTCTATATCTTTATCCCTCTTTTTTAATTTACTTATTTTATTTATTATTTTTTAAAATTTTCTTCATTTTATTTTTACCGTTCTTCCTTCTCCCCTATCCTCTAATTTGCCTTTCTCTAGTGGTCACCTTTATTAGAGGTTATTAATATTGTAACTACATTCCTGTTAAGTGCCTCTTGTGTTATACCTGGTAGTGTTGTATAATATTTTGTACCTTTAAATCACCGAAAGAGAAGGAACAACACATAACCAGACATCCTGAAAAGAGAGGCTATGGGGAGACAAAAAAAATAGCCCGCACATAAAAGAAAAGCAGGTATCACTAGAAAAGGAAGTAAACGAGTCAGAGGCAAGCAGCCTACCAGAGCAAGAATTCAGAATAATTATCATAGGATGGCTAAAAAGAATGGAAGAGAAATTTGACAATAACCAAGAAGAAATGAGGAAGAACCATGAGGAACTGAAGAAGAACCAAAAAGAAATGAAAAATGACATCACTACCATGAAGAACTCAATAGAAAGCATCAAGAGTAGACTAGATGAAGCAGAGGACCACATCAGTGAGCTAGAAGACAAGATGGAAAAAAATACACAATTAGAGCAGGTTCTAAAAAAAAGATTAAAAAGCAGGAGGAGAGCCTACGGGAGCTTTGGGACAATACAAAACAAAACAATATTAGAATAATAGGGGTTCCAGAAGGAAAGGAATCTGAGGAAGACATGAAAAACGTATTTCAAGAAATAATGACAAAAAACTTTCCTGAGATAGAGAAGAAAAAACCCACACAAATCCAAGATGCTCGCAGAGTCCCCAGCAAAATGAATCCCAGAAGACAGATGCCAAAGCACATTATAATTAAATTGGCAAACAACAATGACAAAGTAAGAATCTTAAAAGCAGCCAGAGAGAGACAGAAAGTTACATACAAAGGAACCCCCATCAGACTAGCAACTGATTTCTCAACAGAAACTTATAAGGCCAGAAGGGAATGGGATGAAATATACAAAGTCATGCAAAGAAAGGGTCTGAATCCAAGAATACTGTACCCAGCAAGGCTATCAATCAAAATTGAAGGGAAAATCAGGAGCTTCACAGACAAAAAAAAGACTGAAGGAATTTATCTCCACCAAACCAGCAATGCAAGAAATGCTAAAGGGTCTACTGTAAAAATAAATAGGAAGTGAAGAAGGTACACGGGTATAGAATAAAAATGGCATCAAATGAGTACCTATCAATAATAACCTTAAATGTAAATGGATTAAATGCTCCAATCAAAAGACATAGGGTAACAGATTGGATAAGAAAACAAGACCCATATATCTGTTGTCTACAAGAAACCCACCTCAGAAAGAAAGATGCACACAGACTGAGGGTGAAGGGATGGAAAAGAGCTTTCCAGGCAAATGGAAATGGAAAAAAAAAAAAAAGAAAAAGAAAAGCTGGGATAGCAATACTTATATCTGACAAATTAGATCTCAGAGTGAAGGACATAACAAGAGATAATGAAGGCCACTTCATAATATTGAAAGGAACAATCCAACAAGAAGAAATAACCCTGGTAAATATATATGCACCCAATACAGGAGCACCCAAATACATAAAAAAAAAAACCCTGCTAGAGGACATTAAGAGAGAGATTAACAGCAATACAATCATAGTAGGAGATTTTAATACCCCACTGTAACCCTTCGACAAATCATCTAAACAAAAAATCAGCAAAGAAATATCAATCCTATATGACTCACTAGACCAGATGGAATTAATTGACATCTTCAGAACATTCCACCCCAAAGCCACAGAAAATACATTCTTCTCAAGTGCACATGGGACATTCTCAAAGATAGACCATATTTTGGGACATAGGCAAAGTCTCTTCAAGTTCAAGAAGATAGAAATCATATCAAGCATCTTCTCAGATCATAATGGCATAAAACTGGAAATTAACTACAATAAAAATAATTCAAAGAAATAAAACACATGGAGACTAAACAGCATGCTATTAAACAAGAACTGGGTTACCAGAGAAATCAAGGAAAAAATTAAAAACATCCCTGGAAACAAATGACAATGAAAACAGAACAATCCAAAATCTATGGGACACAGCAAAAGCAGTTTTCAGAGGGAAGTTTATATCCTTACAAGCCTATTGCAAAAAACTAGAAAAAATGGTAACAGATGATCTAACTCTACAACTCAAAGAGTTAGAAAAAGAGCAACAAGAAAAGCCCAGTGTAAGCAGAAGGAAGGAAATAACAAAAATCAGAGCAGAAATAAATGACAGAGACCTAAGAAATGATACATAAGATCAACAAAACCAAGAGCTGGTTCTTTGAAAGGACAAACAAGATAGATTAACCTCTAGCCAGGCTAATCAAGAAACAAAGAGAGAGGACCCAAATAAACAAATCAGAAATGAAAGAGGTGAAATAACAACAGACCCCACCGAAATACAGCAGATTGTTACAAAATACTATGAACAACTCTATTCCAACAAACTGAACAACCTGGAGGAAATGGACATATTCCTAGAAAAATACAAACCTCCAGAACTCAATCAGGAAGAATCAAAAATCTCAATAGACCAGTGACTTGGGAAGAAATTGAAACAGTCATCAGAAAGCTTCCAGCAAACAAAAGCCCAGGGCCAGATGGCTTCACAGGAGAGTTTTACCAAACATTCAAGGAAGAACTAAAACCTATCCTCCTCAGACTATTCCAAAGAATCCAAGAGGAAGGAACACTTCCAAACTCCTTCTATGAAGCCAGCATCACCCTAATACCAAACCAGATAAAGACAACTCAATGAAAGAGAATTACACACCAATTATCCCTCATGAACATGGATGCCAAAATCCTAAACAAAATTCTAACAAATAGACTCCAGAAGAACATCACAAAGATCATAGACCATGACCAAGTAGAATTTATTCCAGGAATGCAAGGATGGTACAATATCTGCAAATCAATAAACGTAATACATCACATAAACAAATTGAAAGATGAAAATCATATAGTCATATCAATTGATGCAGAAAAAGCATTTGATAAAATCCAACACTCTTTCCTGATAAAAACTCTTAACAAGGTGGGAGTACAAGGATCATACCTCAACATAATAAAAGCTATATATGATAAACCCACAGCCAGCATTATACTCAATGGGCAAAAACTAAAACCATTCCCTCTAAGAACAGGAACAAGACAGGGATGCCAACTATCGCCACTCCTGTTTGACATAGTACTGGAAGTACTAGCCATTGCAATTAGACAAGAGGAGGAAA